CTGTAATAACCTTTCGCTTCTTACTACACACGTAAACAGAACAAACACCCCTGAACATGTCCCATAGGTACCAACGTCAGATCACATTGGCTAGTGTCAGAATGAACACTGCCAAAAGATGAAAGAGGGTAGTTTCGTTTGATACACATTAGCCATCGCGAAAGAAAAAATTGATGCATAGGCAGCCATGAAGTGGACGATTGTTCCACATTTAATAAAAAATAATTTTCTTGTTACTTTAACCAAGAATAAAAAAAAAACATATAAAAATAATGATTTTTGAACCTGTTCTATGAGTATTAATATGTAATTTTTGTAAACGTTTAAAAAAAAGATGGCACTTTTCTTCTTTCTTCTTCTTCTTTACCACTCATCGTATACCTAAAATCGATTTCACATGTACTGAATGTGCCTCAGGTAACGAACGTGGGCGCTGTTTTTCTTTAGTTTACTTCGTCATTTCGTTCAGACACTGGGTAAAACTCCACAGGAATTCTGTGAATAGCACGGCTTGACCTAGTGATTAGATTCCCTGACTATGGATCTGAGGGTCCATGGTTCGTGTCCCATTACCGCAAAATCGCTCTCCACACTTTGGGGCTGTGGGTGCGTTATGATTGTGACAGTCCAATCTCACTGTTCGATTAGAGTAAGAGTTGTCAATGTGTGCTGTTGACTAGTCTAGGGACAGACAATAATACTGTTAGTTCTTTTGTAACCTTTGTGCGAATATTCGAGAGAAACAACGGAGTGGCTTGAAGTGAGGAAACAATATACACGAAGAGAAAAGTTTGTTTAACTTTGGTCTTTTATTTCGATCGAACGTTAATGCAGCGGAGCCTTTTATTATTATTTATTATGTAATACATTTATTTGTGTATTAACTTTTTTCAATCATAAAGATTATTAATTACCTCTTAATTTTAAATCAGCCAATCCACTTTGTTTCCTTGAAACTGTTTTTTTTTTCACACTAGAGTGCCTTCAATCATGCGGATGTTAATACTGTGGATGTAATCTCCCAATAAGTTACGGTACAAAATGTTTTCCTTTCAGGTGTTGCGGATGTTAATAATGTGGATGTAATTTCCCAAGAACTTACGGTACAAAATGTTTTCCTTTCAGGTGTTGCGGATGTTAATAATGTGGATGTAATCTCCCAATAAGTTACGGTACAAAATGTTTTCATTTCAGGTGTTGCGGGTGTTAATAATGTGGATATAATCTCCTAATAAGTTACGGTACAAAATGTTTTCTTTCAGGTGTTGCGGGTGTTAATCATGTGGATATAATATCCCAATAAGTTACGGTACAAAATGTTTTCCTTTCAGGTGTTGCGGGTGTTAATAATGTGGATATAATATCCCAATAAGTTACGGTACAAAATGTTTTCCTTTCAGGTGTTGCGGGTGTTAATTGAGAGATTATATCCACAGTATTAACACCCGCAACACCTGAAAGGAAAACATTTTGTACCGTAACTTATTGGGATATTATATCCACATGATTAACACCCGCAACACCTGAAAGAAAACATTTTGTACCGTAACTTATTGAGAGATTACATCCACATTAAGGAAGAACAAATATAAGTCCTAGAACAGATAACGCGCGAACCATTTATATATAACCAATAAAAGAAGCCATCTTATTAGGCTAGGTTAACCTTCAACTATCCTTATGACTCTAATGCAGGCTGCGTAAGTGGCAAAAATAAACTGATTGTTGTCTACAATCTACGAACACTTTAAGAAAACGAAAGACGTCACCTTGATTAATATGACAGTTTTTCAAAACAAAATTCAAAGCTATATGTGAGCGAGGACGTGATTAGCCTACTGCAACGAAGTTTGTTATATTATTTTAAAGTTCTCATTTCTTATTATGTGAGTCACTTTATGCTTTTTCGTACTAAAGATTTTCCAATATATTATTTTATTAGATCATGAAGTAATATTTACTTAAACAGAAGGATATAAACAAGCAGTCAGATTATATCAATACTTGTGTTCTTGCTTGTTGCCAAACAGCTATTCAAAACAACTATTTTCGAGGGTTGTTCATTATTTATATGTTTCATTATATATATATAGTAACGTTTTATGACCTGTACAACCAATATAATCAAGTAAGCATGTGATCTAACACCATGGTTGTACATATGTGATCTAACATCATGTTTTACAATCTAACACCATGGTTGTGCGCATGTAATCTAACACCATGGTTGTGCGCATGTTATCTAACGCCATGTGGTTTAAAACCATGTATGTACATATGTGATCTAACACCATGTTTGAGCGCATTTGATTTAACACCGCGTCTATTCATAGTAACCTTCTCTTGAAACTGATTTAACAAAATTCGGTGTGGGCGATTCTACAATAAAACAAATTATTCAAATTAAACTGATTCAGTAAAGCTTCAGTTATTTACAGCGTAACCTGCAAGTTGTTCTTATAACTCTCACGATGAAACTGTTTCACACGTATACATTAACTAATCTCAGAATTGAAAACGGTCTTCTAGACAGTTACGACGACTTCAAAAGGTTTAACATTTCTGCGAAACTAATATATACTAGTTAACGTACCCGTTCAACGCACGAGGAAAACATAGAGTTTGTATCCGAAATCTAACCTCCTCCATGTGTCACTCCACGGGAGGTTCTAAGGGTACATGCAAGATTTGGTGACAATCGGTCAAGTGCTTTGCCAGTTATAAGTGACACACACACACACAGACTTTTGTTCTATAATGGCTTAGGCTTAGCTTAACTGGGAGAGTTTGTTTTTCTTTTCAATAAAGACGAATATAATCTCTATCTCAGTTTACTGAAGCACATTCCTGTCACTAAACCCAAATTATGCTGCCTTCTAGTGCCTATGAAAACATAATGTATAATGAGGGTATTCTTAAAGCTTAAGGCCTATATGTCAGTAGTTTGTATGTATATCTCTTTCTTAAGAAATGAAAGTAATCTTTATCATAAACTAA